GGGGTCGAACTTTCTCAAGGTGGGGCGACGACGGTGGCGGGTGCGTATTGTGCCATGCTGATTAAAAACGTCGCGGAACGGGTGTAAGGGGGAAAGAGGAGGGGGCCCAACTGTCATAGTCAGGAAACAGCCCAGGAATATACTGTCGATTTTCGATATGGATATAAGTTTGAATCCTTTCTGACCTCATGCTAAACATAATAAACTTGATGGATTTTGAATTCCTTCTCCACAGAGCAAAATTATTTATTTTGGAGTGTGTATAATGGTCTGGAAAACCAAAGGAAAATTCAGAGGAGACAGCAGATAGCGAGGCGTGGTGTAGCCTGGTGGACGGGAGCGACGAATATTCCTCCTCGGAACACACATCTTCTAGCTCGAGGTGGCCGTCGGAAGTGGGCGTGGGCGTGAGCAGCTGGGCGGCAGAGACAGACGTGCGTTGGTTTGGATGGCGTTCGGAGACCGAGCCGGCTCGAGCCGGCTTCAGGTGAGAGGCAGTGAGAGGTGAGGTGTTCCCCATCTCCCCCTCTCTTGCCTATGGCCGGCTGGGCGTCCCAGCATGTAAGCTGCAGCGTGGCGTGACGCTGCGGGTCAGGGGAGGGGGCAGGCGGCAGTAGTCTAAAAGTGACGGGCCGACAAGGTCAGTCAGTGGCTAGTGGGCGCGCTCAGTGCCCGGCGACACCGTCATGGAGCCCAGCTCACTGTTGCTGGCCGCGGCCGCCGTCGTCGCGGCCGTCTTCCTGTACTTCCGCCACCGCTTCTCGTACTGGGCGCGGAGGGGCGTGCCCTTCCACGCGCCCAAGCCTGTCGTCGGCAACTTCGGCGACGTGCTGCTGGGCCGGAAGAACGTCCCCGGTCTGCTGGCGGACCTGTCGCGGGCCTTCCGGGAGGTCGGCTACTGCGGCATCTACAGCTTTGACAAGCCCGTCCTGCTCGTGTGGGACCCGGAGATGGTGAGGCAAATCGTGGCCAAGGACTTCAGCAGCTTCCACGACCGCGGCCAGCCCTTCGACCCGGCAGACCCCTTGAGCCAGACGCTGTTCGCGCTGGGCGGCAAACAGTGGAAGAACCTGCGCAGCAAATTGACCCCGGCGTTCACGTCGGGCAAGCTGAAGGCTATGCTCCCGCTCATGCGCGACGTCGGCGCGGACCTCGTCGACCAGGTGGCCCTGGAGGCCCACGGCGGGTGCGAGGTCGACATGGAGGAGCTGCTGTCGAGGTTCGTCACCGACGTGGTGGGCACCGTCGCGTTCGGCATCAAGTGCAACTGCCTCCGCGACCCCAACAGCGACTTCCGCGCCATGTCCAAAAAGCTGTTCAAGCAGACGCCCGCCAGCGTGGCGCGCATCCTGCTCACCACCGTCCACCCCAAGCTGGGCGTACTGTTGCCCTTCAAGTGGTTCTTCGCGGAGACCAACGACTTCTTCCTCAACCTGATGAGGGACCAGGTGGACCAGCGTGAGAAGACGAGCGTCGAGCGCAACGACTTCGTGCAGCAGATGATGCAGCTGCGCGCCGCCGACCTGGCCGACGTCGACCCGGACAACCACCTCAAGGTGACGACCGGCGTGATGGCGGCACAGGCCTTCATCTTCTTCCTTGCGGGCCTCGACAACATCTCCAACACGCTCGGCTACATCCTGACCAGGCTGGCCGGCGACCAGGACTTGCAGGACAGGCTGGCCTCGGAGGTGCGGCGCGAGCTCCAGCAGCACGGCGGCGAGCTCTCCTACGAGGCCCTCAAGAAGATGAGCCTCGTCAGCCGCGTGGCCCTCGAGGGCCTCCGACTGTGGAATCCGCTCGGGGTCGTGTTCCGCAAGTGCAACGCCACCACCCGGGTGGGCGACGTCGTGGTCGAGAAGGGCCAGATGCTCTTCATCGCCACAAACGTCATCAACATGGACGAGAGCGTCTTCCCGGAGCCGCAACGCTTCGACCCGGAGCGCCACACGGCTGAGGAGAAGGCCAAGCGGCACCCCTACGCCTTCCTGCCCTTCGGCGAGGGCCCGCGGATCTGCATCGCCGAGCGCTTCGCCCTGCTGGAGATGGAGCTGACCATCGCGGTCCTCGTGGACAAGCTGCGCTTCTCTCCCGGCCCCAACTACGAAAAGGAGGTCGAGATCGACACCAGGGCGCCCCTACCTAAGCCAAAGAATGGGTTCCACCTGCAAGTCACAGAACGCATTTGAAGGAAATTGATAACATTTTCTATAAAAGTGCTTAAAATGATCGTTAATACGTAAGTAAGAAAATTGGGTGCAGTTTGTGCTCACGATTGTATTGTAAGTTTCGCTAGTGTTACTGAATCTACCTCACTACCCTGTACAAATATTTTTGATACTAATACGGAATAAAAAGTAATTTCAGAAAAGAGGACTATATTATTTCTCGAACTGGGGCGAAGAAAAGTGGCACAATAAACTGACCAGGGATACGAACCCAAGTACACATTGGAGTACACACTCGGCAGTTGGTGCATTGTCGCCATGCTCTTGACATCTGTTACGTGAGGTGTGAATCATCGGGCAGGGACTAATATGATAAGCTCGCCGGCGAGTCTGGCTTTGTCGCCTCCGAGTGTAGCAGGACGGGCGTGGCGATGTATCTTATGGTAGATCACTACCACCACCACATCACAAGTGAGTCACCAGTACGGCGAGGGCCCCGCATTTATTTTCTGCAAGTCATCCCCTCAAAATACACACACACAACCTCTCTCTCTCTCTCTCTCTCTCTCTCTCTCTCTCTCTCTCTCTCTCTGTCTATCTCTCTGTCTGTTACGCAGAATAGATATCGTTACACTACTTGTTAGCGCGCTCCGACAGCAGGCATAAGCCATACGGTCCAATATTTGACAGCATGTGCCTTTGGCCAGCCGGGCCGCAGCACCACGGCCTTGACACAACTTCACTTGCACCGCACGGCTCGCAGCCCCGCCCCGCCACGCCGTACGCACACCGGTGGTGCTGGGGCCGGTCCGTTATTGACATGCTGTCCAAAGTTGGGGCCCCCGCCCCGCCACTGGGGCCCGGGGGCGCGGCCGGCGTGGCGGCCACAGACTGCGTTACGCCCCCTTCTTCTCGTCCGTGACCCCGCGGGTACGGCAAGGGTAAGGGTGTCAGAGCGAAATGGTCGCGGTTCACAATCTCAGCTCATGACGGGTGGGTGATGGGACACACTCTGCCCTCAGTGCCAGGGCAGCGGGAAGGGATAAAAGAGGGGAAGAAAGGGAAATTTTTCAACAGAAAAACATTGCAAAAAAGGTAGAAATCCCAGAAATACTTCTTGGAAAAATGTAAATCCTTATAGGGCAGAGCCATGCCGTACCACTACGCTTTCCCCTGGGCCGCCCGGCCGGCCGTGCGGGAGAAAGGCGGCGGCGGGTGGACTCAGGGAATGGCAGCTCGGGATCGAATCTGCGATTTGGTAAAGTATGGGTGTTTTGGCGATATATCACTTGGTCCTTCGCCGACCAGCCGGGGCCGCCGAGGGCCAGCGGCCAGAGGGCCTTGGGGGCGACCCACCTGGGGCACCGCCTGGGTGTGGCGGGGCGGGGCGTGGCGGGGCGTGGCGGGGCGTGGCAGAGCGAGGCGCGGCGGGGCGCGCTGCGCCACGGCCCAGCCAGCCCCACCGCCAGGGAATTGGCGTGATTTGGGCGTGATTTTGACGTGCGCCTCTCGCTGCCCGAGACCGCATTGGGATCCCCTGCAATAAGGTCCGACCGGAGGCTCCGCTGGAGGCTCCAGACCGCTCGGCTGGGGCGGGGAATAAGTTTGGACCAATACGGTGGGGATTATTGCTCTGTCAATCACCACCGCGTCCCACAGAGCTCCACGGCCTGGATCATCTCGGAGCTCCTCCGCCCTTTCTATACTTGCGGTGGCGAAAAGACCGCTTGCCATTCTCCATTTCTCTGACTGGTGATGACTCCCGCGCGAGTCTCAAACCCCCTTCCTCTTAGCCATCCCGTGATTTTTTTTCTTTTGGTTTTGTTTTTTTCCTTTTTTACCCCTCGGACGCCGCTCACTACTCGTGGTGCTCCAAGCTCCCTCTCCAGCCCGACCGGCGGTCTCCCCTCACACGCCCTCACACTCCAGAGCCTGTCCTCCCCCTCCCATCAGATATGGCATTTCGCTGACCAACAACTGATAGTTTAGGCTGTAATTTCACATCTTTTACTTCGGCCCTGCTCCCCCTCCCTGCCCCTCTCGTTTTCCTCTCGGCTTGACCCTTATTGGCTGTATCGCTGCTGACCCTCCACTACAGCCTCGGCTACAGCCACCCCCACCAATGACACCCCCTCATCCCTCCCCCTTTCCTCTCCTTCCGGTCCATTCTCTTCTCTCCAGTGTCCCCTCTTAATAACAAGCAACTCTCTCTCCCTCTCTCCCTCTCTCTCACCATTCCCAGAAAATGCGCAGCTATTAGAGGGAAATTCGGCGCGTGATCATGTTCTTGGCTCCTTTTCTTTTTCGCCTGTTCCTTATTAAAATACGCGTCGCCACGCGGCTGCTTCTCTCTTTTGCCGCTTTCTCTCTCGCTCCTTCTCTCACCCACTCGCTGCCCGTCGGACAGAATGTCTTTCTCTGTCTATTGCCGAACCCTTCTCTCGCCTGTGTTCCGCCCCGTTGTTATTCGCTCGCTGAAAATCATCAACTTTTCCCTCGGAAACTTCGCTAAACACGCCGCGCCCCGCCCGCGGTGCGTACCACGCCCCCTTCCCGCCCTTTTTCGAACGTTTAAATTATCGGCACGGGCGCGATGGAAAAGACCAAGTTCAAGACTAATTTGGTTCCCAAGCTCGAGCCAAATTCTTCGCATTCATCGGGACGTTTTATCGGGATATTTTCCTTTAATATGTAGGTTACGTGTGCGTTGGCTTCTACTTTGAATGAAGCAGGTCATGAAGGCCACACACAAGGAACAAAAAACATTTTTTTTAAAAAACGATGAATTTTACACTCTTATTGAACTTGATCACTGGACCGTCACCTCCTCTAACATTTTCTCATCTAGATCGGTTGTCGTTCAATGAGGGTGCCGCGACTGAAAACTCATCGAGCTCTGAAAAACGTGGGAGCAGGGAGAGATCCCAAAAGACTTGTCTGCGATATTTCCAAAGTCTCCATTTACTTGGAGCGGACACCTGGTCTCCCATAGACAATGGCGCCAAAAACAAAAGAGGCACGACCAAATGCTTTTCGCCTCTCTCATCGAGGCAGTGGCGTGGCATGGCACAGTAACGAACGACTAGTGCTCTCCGTATCTTTAGGTCTACTTGAGAGATTAGGAGAAAGTGTGTGCGGGGGGAGGGGCGGAAGGGAAAGGCGAGGGGAAGAGGGGGGGGGGGTGAGCAACGTGTTACTAGGGAGAAATATTGGGCGCCTGAGTGTGGTTTGGGGACTTGCGCGCACGGGTGGCCTACACAGCAGGGGCGCGCCTATATAAGAAAAATGGAGTTATTCGTCGAACTCCAACTGCGTAGCAGGACGACCAAAGTGGGTGCGCAAATCAGTCTCAAATGGCCTGGTGTCCTACAATATAACACGATAGTGTATTCGGCATGGGTAAAATCACTTTCTTTTTACCTAGCACACGCATTCGAAAACAGTAACTTAAAATAACTTAACAAAAATAATTTTCTTAATTACTTGAATAGCAAGACAGGGTTTTTCCACCGTGACCCTGCGGAAGACCCCCTAGGGCGCGCAAGGTAAGCTTGTAGGGCGGCACTTCAATCCAGCCCAGCTCCTGCTGCAGTAGGGTTTTGGTCTGGCGGGGCGTGGCGAGGCGTGGCGGGGCGTGGCTTGGCGGGGCGTGGCAGGGCACTCGAATGGGCCCGGCGCGCGCCAGCAGCAAACACGCATCAACAGCATAAAGTTTTAATGAATGACCGCCACCGCGGTGTGGCCACCCCGCCGCACCGCGCCCCGCCCCACCACGCCCCGCCGCACCCAAACCAGCCACGCCAGACCAGGCCAGGCACAGGCCTGGTGGAAGCCAAGTTACGGATGAACTTAACTTTCGCCCTCGTGATTTAATAATTAGCCGAAGGTTGTTAGGACTCTTAAGAAAATAATGCATTGAAATTAAGGACGTATGAGTTTGCGGCTCCTGCGCCCGGCTGGTGGCTGCCATGAACGATGCGGAGAGAGAGAGAGAGAGAGAGAGAGAGA